TTCTTCTGCAATGTGAATTTTCTGTACACGAGTATGTGAATAAAGCTAGTGGCTCCATTAATCAAACTCCCACAAAACAGCCAGAAATGTAGGATATGTTAAAAGCCACAAAGATTTTTCTTAGAAAGTAAGTTCATTTTCTAAGTTTTTATTTGATCTCTAAGACTGGTGAAGTTGACAAAAAAATTAAATATTTACCTTAAGCATTTTGTCCATGCCTTTTAGTTCGCTGGTCTTCAAGTTCGCTTGTTTTCCAACGTCATCTACTGACCACTCTTATCTCAGATCTAGGGTTGTCCACTGTCCATGAAAAGGTGTCCACAGGCCACCTACCGAGGCATGTCCTAGGGGCATCCTTCCAAGGCTTGTCCACAGGCCCCCTTCCAAGGCTTGTCCACAGTCCACAGACCACCTACCAGGGTTTGTTCAGGCCACCTACCAAGGCTTGTCCACAGGCCGCCTTCCAAGGCATATCTACAGGCCACCTTCCCAAGCTTGTCCACAGTCCACTGGCCACCTACCAAGACTTGTCCACAGGCCACCTTGGGCAACGATTGCCCAAAGGCTACGTACCAAGGATTGCCACAGGTCACCTTGGAAGGCTTGTCCACGACAGGTCACCTTGGAAGGCTTGTCCACGACAGGTCACCTTGGAAGGCTTGTCCACGACAGGTCACCTTGGAAGGCTTGTCCACGACAGGTCACCTTCCAAGGCTTGTCTGCCACAGTTCATCTAAGAAGGCTTGTCTGCTGCATGCTACCTTCTAAGGCATGTTCACCACAGGTCACCTTCCATGACTTGTCCACAGGCCAGCACCCTGTAAACATAACAGCATGGTGATTAAGCATATTGATGTATAGTAGTTACTAATAGATATTTATACTGTCATGAAAAGATTTCTGTTCACAAAGTTTCCATTTTTTCAGAATTGAAATGGAAGGATGTAAGATGGCTTATTTCCATGCTCCAGTCACTGAACTGAAAAAATCAATATTCAAAATATTTTCTCCCAGTTATCCTCAAAAATGGTTTTAGTGGCTTCTTTTTTTCCACATGTCTTTACCTTTTGACCCCTAAAAGTGACCAGCATCTAATTTCTCCTTACAATATTATCCCTGAATGACATATTATGGTCACAAGAAAATAGGTAATGATCACCAACTTAAGAAGCTCTTGGTTGTTGAACAAATTCTCCTTTTCAACAACTCAGGAACTTTATAAAAAACAGTATGGAAAATATGCATATTAATGTTAGGATGTAAAGGGTTAAAGGTTTTTTTTTCTTTGTAAATATGTCCTTTTAAAAATGGGGTAAAGTTTTGAAGTAAAAACAAAATTAAAAAAAAGCCTGCCAATTTATTTTCAGCTAGGGTATCAAGGCTCTTTACATGAAGGCTAGCCATTGTCCCTTTTGCTGATAAGACTCAAAGTATCTTAACATCTTGTTCTTGATTACTAACATTAAATAATCCTTGTCCCACAGCTGGTAGAAGGGAAAATGTTAAAAAGCAAAGAGGGACCATGTGAGACCACGGAAAAATGTATTCCCTAAGTCACCCCCTCTTCACCCCTACCGTCAGGAAATTCATTACCCTTCATCTGGAATTTTCAATCCCTTACAGGGGTGGGGGCTTGGAACAATTTAAGCCCAAGACAAAATATTCAAATTATACTATTTTCACTCCTTTGAGTACTTTTTCACATCTTAGGTCATGCAATGATAAAAATTTCAAGTTATTGCATTATATCATCAATTGCAAACTCAGTTCGTATAAGTGACAATGCTTTGTAGAATTATCGGAAAGGTAAGCGCTCGTGCTCAGAATGCAAAATATTTAAGTCTCTTGTTAAATACTAGGAACTATGCCTACAGAATTGCAACAATTTGCCCATCAGGCAGTTTTCAGGTTTATTATCCTTACCTCAGTTACCTCTGATAGTTGACCTGAATGTCACATGTGTTTTCCATTTCGGAGTTTTCTAGCCGCTGTACCGTAGTTTTCTCTCTTCAAACTCCAGAGAACGAGAGAAAATGTGAACTAGAAAGCAAATAATACTTAAAGTCTCATTTTTGCTCCTGTTTTGGAACCAAAATAAGCGATTCCGTCGATCACTTACTAAAATAATTGCGCCGCCATGATGAATTTACTCTTAAAACTAGTTACCAGTGTACTTCGTTCGGAAAAACACCCGCGTCACGCTTCACGCGAAATTGCGCGGTTAAACGCGTTTCGTGTTCAAGAATTCATCTTTTATCTGCGATGACTTGGAATCGTTGTTTTCTTTCGTTCAAAGAGGATTTAAGGCTTTTTACCTTACTCACGAACTGGAGAAGCCTACTAAGCTGGTGGTTTGGGGTGAGCTAAAATGCCATGAGCGGCAAAACCGCGAAAATTGAGTGATGAAGTCGCGAACAGGAAAGTGTATTCCATCCCCGCGCCTCTCATGGCTCCGCCATTCGCGGCTTGAAAACCGCCATTGAGAAAAGCTAGTATCAGGGACACTATATTCACCTTAACAGCCATTTTTTGGGAGTTCTCTGTGGTAGAGGAGGGCGTTACGTGACGTCTCAAAGGAACGACTGCGAAGGAGACTGAAAGCACACAAACTGGAAACCTACCGCAAGACATCTTCTGCATTAATTGAAAGCTTCTAAACGTATAGAATTATTGCGTTTTAATTTGACAACGCGCAGCCCTCCTTGGTTCGGCCTGTTTACCTCTCATTTGTATGACACACACGCTCTCTTTTATTAGTCACGCAAGAAAGAAGTTCCTTTCTGCGTAGAAATCATTGGCAGTTTACTCATAAAAGGGAAAGTTTTAAATTGAAAACAGGCCCTTCCTGACAGCGCGCAGGGATCTCTACAGTCAACACATAGGTACTGGTGTAGCTTTAAGGTTTTTCGTGCTCTTTGAGCTTCAACGGCAACCGAAAAAAAAAAGCATAGCTTGCGCGGAATTTAGAAGACTCCGAAAAAAGGCATTACTTAATTTGACACGCAGAAAATAAAGTTATCGGGAAACTTAGGTTTTTTTTTAATGTCGATACAAATCATTTTGGGATATATGAAGACTATGAAGTTAATTGTGGGCACAGCAATCGTGCTATAGAGAAGTATGGCCGATATAAATCGATCGAGCGCAAATTTGATTGTTAGCATCATGCTGAAACAAATTTGCGCTCGATCGATATGATATTTTGCGCAAGGGCGAAAGGCACCAACAGATGAAGAGATAGAAGCAATAAACCGAACACAGTTGGAAACTGCGTTGATCATTGACTTTAGTATCATGTGGTGGCTCCTAAAAGAGCCGTTTGTTTTGGCGGAAAACCCACAAAGTGAGTTTACTTGCTGCTGGTGTACTTGGTTACGGCCTTAGTTCCTTCACTCACGGCGTGTTTAGCCAGTTCACCGGGCAAAAGCAGCCTGATAGCTGTCTGGATCTCGCGAGAGCTGATGGTCGACTTTTTGTTGTAGTGGGCAAGGCGAGAAGATTCCGTGGCGATGCGCTCGAAGATGTCGTTGACGAACGAGTTCATGATGCCCATGGCTTTGCTGGAGATACCAGTGTCAGGGTGAACTTGCTTCAACACCTTGTAGATGTAGATAGCATAGCTTTCCCTTCTCTTTCCTCTCCTCTTCTTCTTTCCATCAGCAATGGCTTTAGCCTTTCCGGCTTTTTTCTCGCCTTTCTTTCCTGCAACTTTGGCTGGCATCTTGGTAAATCACAAAGATGAATAAGTTCACAGCGCAACTCGTCTTGTATTTATAACAGAATTGTAAGAGGATCTATTACCATACGGATCGAAATTCTCGATAAATGATTGGCTAATTTCTATGCTGACCCTGGGGTCAATTAGTATTGTCATTCTTTCTATGCCGGTATTAAGAAATTTTAAAAACCACAACATGCTTCAAATTGATTGGTGCTTTTCGATCCATCTTGCATAACAAACGAACCATAAATGACAGGATTATGTGTAATCCCATCATTTTCGGTGAAATCATATCATAGCTAACATGTCTGGTCGCGGTAAAGGTAAAGCTAAGGGCACCAAGTCCAAAAGCCGCTCATCACGAGCAGGGCTTCAATTCCCTGTAGGTCGAATCCACCGTCTTCTCCGCAAAGGCAATTACGCTGAGCGAGTTGGTGCCGGTGCTCCAGTGTACTTGGCTGCTGTGCTTGAGTATTTGAGCGCTGAGATTCTTGAGTTGGCGGGCAACGCTGCTCGTGACAACAAGAAGACAAGAATCATTCCCCGTCACCTTCAGCTGGCTGTGCGCAATGACGAAGAGTTGAACAAACTGCTGGCTGGTGTCACCATTGCACAAGGAGGTGTTCTTCCTAACATCCAGGCTGTGCTTCTGCCCAAGAAGACCGAGAAAAAACCTAAGGCTTAAATCAACTTCAACCTTAAAAAACGGCTCTTTTAGGAGCCACCACATAATACAAAAGTCTTGACCAACGAGACAAGTCGCTAACCTATTCAACAACAACAACAAAATCAAATTTAATATTACTTCGATACTTTTCCGCGCTAGTTTCACCAACGGACCAAAATTTTTAGAGCCCTTGAATTTGGATGAGGGAGAAATCAAGTTTATTACAGGGTTCATTTAAATGTACGCTTAAAAGATCAGAGAAATTTTGCATATAAATAAATAAAAAGGAAATCATGGTTGGGAATTTCATTGCCTCAAACGATTTCGGCTCCCGCACCTCAATCATTAGCGGGCTCAAAAGTCGCGCCATTTTCAGTGTTACAAAATATACAATAAAAATTTTTTGGAAGCTTAAAAGATCGACTAATTTTATATGATTTCTCTTTAGAAGGAAAGAAGAAGCGCAACCTTTAAAAAATATCTGTCTCTCTGAGTGATTTGACAAAGAACGCGAAAATGGGGGGATTGTTTGAGCGCTAAATTTTTCAGCCGTGACCCGCGAGTATTTGAAAAAGGTAACGCACTTCCAAGAGGAGAATCGATCTATGGCTCCAACAAAAGCCAAATAGGGATGGTACAAGAGAAGTATTGGAGTATTTTCCAAATTATCGAAGAGCGAGATATATATGCGATTTAATTCGCGTCATGAATGAAACACTTAATTGATCATGACTTTCTTTATATTTGGTGGCTCCTAAAGGAGCCGTTTGTTTTGTGTCAGGAGTTTATGTCTAACCGCCAAAGCCGTACAAAGTGCGGCCTTGTCTCTTCAGAGCGTACACCACATCCATGGCTGTCACAGTCTTTCTCTTGGCGTGCTCGGTGTATGTCACAGCATCACGGATCACGTTCTCAAGGAAAACTTTAAGAACACCACGGGTCTCCTCGTAGATCAGACCAGAGATTCGCTTGACACCGCCTCGGCGAGCAAGACGACGGATGGCTGGCTTGGTGATACCTTGAATGTTATCACGAAGGATTTTTCGGTGACGCTTGGCGCCTCCTTTTCCGAGACCTTTACCTCCTTTGCCACGACCAGACATGTTGATTATCACTCGTGTGTTTGAGTTATGGCAATTGGACGGACGTTATTAGTTTTTATACAGAAAGTTAAGACCTCTTAGAAAACAGAATGAAAGTAAGGGTTGCTATTGGCTGAGTCAAATATCTAGGTATAATTATCACTGTAATATTAACATGTATTAACATAAATCAGACGGTATTCCCGCGCGCATATGTTTTCAATAAAAAAAACATCCCTGTTCCATCCAAATGTTACTTGTGAACTTCGCTGAGAATTGGTTTTCTCTCCGTTTATGCTATATGTTAAATTTTAAGTGACGATAATACTTAGCTTATTCCTAAACGACCTTTCATGTTACTTCGGATCAAAATAACATTGGAGCTCTGTGAAATTATTCACAGCTTTCGTATCTAACCAATCAAATCTCTTTACTTTGAGCCAATCACAAGTAAGCCCGCCAGGTATAAATCAATCGCCAGATCCAATTCTCATAAAATCGGTTATCCTGAGTCGTTGAAAATGGCACGTACGAAACAAACTGCACGAAAATCGACCGGTGGAAAAGCTCCACGAAAACAACTCGCTACTAAGGCAGCTCGCAAGAGCGCTCCTGCTACCGGTGGAGTCAAGAAACCTCATCGTTACAGGCCTGGTACAGTCGCGCTTCGTGAGATCCGTCGTTACCAGAAATCCACCGAGCTGTTGATCCGCAAGCTGCCCTTCCAGCGTCTTGTGCGAGAAATCGCTCAAGATTTCAAAACAGATCTGCGTTTCCAAAGCTCGGCTGTGATGGCCCTTCAAGAAGCTAGCGAGGCTTACCTTGTTGGTCTGTTTGAAGACACCAACTTGTGCGCCATCCACGCCAAGCGTGTCACGATTATGCCCAAGGACATTCAGTTGGCACGCCGAATCCGCGGAGAACGAGCATAAATGGACTTCCCTTCGAATTACAAACGGCTCCTATAGGAGCCACCACATAAATAAAAGCAGTAACCAAACTATGAGCCCCCCAACAACCAACTTTAAAGCCCTAAACTGGAAATATGAAATGAGAAATTTAACTGACAGAAACTGTTATAATACGTTTGCTTGAAGCGCGCTTAGCGGCAAAATCTAGCCGCAAAGTCATTACAGTTGTTAGACTTAAATCCGTGGGAAACACTAATTTTCATCTCCAAGATAATCAGAACATACAAATTTTCCACCATTTTGCATTTACATATATTCCTTCAATGAACCACGCAATTTTCTTAATGCCAACACTATGCAAATCATCAGCCCTTAGTGATAATTTTTGTCGTCTTTTGAATAGGCCTTCCATATGAAAACTTCACTCATATTCATGAATAATCCATTTGCAATATAAACCACATTTACTTCATTAAACAGATAAAACACTCTTCTTATCAAGGTTGCGCACAAAGCGGTAAACGTTGAAGCTTTCGTTCCTCCTTATACTGTCGAATGGGTTTTTGTTGACGTTTAAATTTAAGAACGGTCTGCTTTGAATTTGCATCGAAAGGCTCATTTTTTCGCACACAGACCTAACTTATGACTCCGTCTTTCCGACCAAATCTATGTGATGAATGTAAACTTGAATTTTCCTCGGTGGGGTGCTTGGTATTTTCGGAAGTCTAGACCTACTCCCTTATCTGGGTCGTAAGTGACTCTCTATCGATCGACAACGAATAGACTAGATCCTCGCAAATAATATACTATTTCACATATTTCTGAACTTCACTGAAGAACGCGTAGAAACCCATCACAGCCTTTACCAAGAAAATTACATCGCTAACTAGTTTACAATGTCTGTTTTGTGAATAAACTTACATTTTGAGGATACAACTCTCAAACTTCACTCTACTCTTGGCATAAAATCTGCCCAGGAGTCGAGAGCGCGCAACTGATTCTTGCAAGACTGGCGTATCAGAATAGCAACGCAAATCCGCCACAATAAACGCACAACCTTGTTTCATCACCATTACTTTTCAAACAATTGCTTCAATATTAGCCTTATCTTCGAGTCATTTTCTTCATTCGAGACATTCAGCATTGTACCTCTTGTCAAGGTTAAGTGTGAAATGGCAGACGTTGTAGTTTTGCTCTTTGTGTTCAAATTTAAAGGCTGCTCTGCTTTTGAATATGCATCCAAATGCTCATTTTTTCATACACATGCAAAATTTAGTACCTCTACTTTCCTAAAATATCTTGTGAAATGGTAAAGAGCGACTAAAACAGAACTTATTTTGTCATTTATCCAAAGTTCTCTTTGGAATCTCACTGCTATATGGACTTTTGACCCTAAAATGTCAATCTTATGTTAAGTAAATCAAACTTTACTTTACACCTACATTTTGTGAGATAACGTAGGTAAGCTCTTAATGATCAGGAAAGTTCTAAAGTTATCGAATTGGCCCGTTATGAACCGAAATGTCAAGCAAACTAACACAGTTTGGACGCCGCCATTTTGTAACAACCCTGTTTCCTCAGTGGTCCGTTCGCGAGGAATAACATTACCTTGCGCGCTTCAAGGAATCATTACATGTGTTAGTTCCGAAGGTTCTAAAATAATTAACATGTCCGAAGCAAATTCCTCCGCTAAAAAGAAGCCGACTGCGCCCAAAAAGCCAGCCGAGCATCCACCTTATGCTGACATGATCATAGCTGCTATCTTAGCGTTGAAAGAGCGAAACGGCTCTTCTCGCCAAGCCATCGAGAAGTACATCAAGGCCAACTACAAGGTTGGTGAGGTCGGTCCACACCTGAAGATGGCTTTAAAGAGGGGCGTCACGAGTGGAAAGTTTGTCCACACCAAGGGAGTTGGAGCTTCTGGTTCCTTCAAGGTGGCCAAGGAGGAAAAGAAGGAGAAGAAGCCGAAGAAGAAGCCAGCAGCAAAGAAGTCTGCTGCTAAACCAAAGAAGCCCGCCGCCAAGAAGGCAGCAAAGAAACCAGCGGCCAAGAAGACCGCAAAGAAACCAGCGGCCGTAAAGAAACCCGCAACTAAAAAGCCAGCAGTGAAAAAACCTGCAGCTAAAAAACCAGCAGCAAAGAAACCCGCGGCTAAAAAACCAGCAGCGAAGAAGCCCGCCAAGAAAGTAGCAAAGAAATCGCCGAAGAAGGCCGCCAAGAAATAAGGAGGACAGCAACTCCTAATTAAATCAAACGGCTCCTTTAGGAGCCACCACATTGAAAACAAAGTAATGACCAACTGAGTATTAAACCGTCTTCGATAATCGAGTTTACCTTTCCGATAATTATGGTTTTGGCCCTGACTAAATTTTTGCTCTCTTAAAACTTCATCCTTGTCGAGTATCACGTATAGCTGGCGGTATTCGTGCTTCGCTTTCAAGCACAGAAGCCGCGGAAGGCTTGGGACGAGAAAAAACATTTTTCCTCACTCACTAAACCGCTTTTCCCGCTTAAAGCGCACTCAAGACCATTAGCTTCGCAGGCTATTTCGATTTCTCGATCGTTTAGATGGGGCGCTTGGTAGCAGAGAGCTTTTTAGATAACAGTTAAGGTATACTGTGTACTTAGCGAAAATGAAAAAAACGGCTGAAGTGAAAGTCTGACTCTTCCAATCAGGTTAGATCAGGCCACCTGTGTCTCGTAGCTCATTCAATCACCACTTGCATATATTTGCGTTACAATCCAGCCGTCTCGTAAGTAGGCAGCTAAAAAGCTTTAAACTCCGGAAATCTTTTGTACATCAATCACGTTTCTGGAATAAACCAGCGTTTTGTCAGACAATAAGTGATCGAGCAATTACCGTTGGTAAATTAAATAAAAAACTGTCTTTTCAAAGTGTTAATAATGTTGAGTGTGACATTTTGTAAAATTAATCATGAACAATAGTCTACCCTTCCTTTCCCGGTTCATCTGTGACTCATCTTTGCTGTACTTCTTCGTTTGTAAAATTTTGTTTCGTTCGGAACCATACTAAGAGAAACATTTTCATGTTTAAAAACTCGTATTGCGTTAATGATTGACTTTCGTAACATTTGGTGGCTCCTAAAAGAGCCGTTTGTTTTGGCGGAAAACCCACAAAGTGAGTTTACTTGCTGCTGGTGTACTTGGTCACAGCCTTAGTTCCTTCACTCACGGCGTGTTTAGCCAGTTCACCGGGCAAAAGCAGCCTGATGGCGGTCTGGATCTCGCGAGAGCTGATGGTCGACTTCTTGTTGTAATGGGCAAGGCGGGAAGCTTCGGTGGCGATGCGCTCGAAGATGTCGTTGACGAACGAGTTCATGATGCCCATGGCTTTGCTGGAGATACCAGTGTCAGGGTGAACTTGCTTCAACACCTTGTAGATGTAGATAGCATAGCTTTCCCTTCTCTTTCCTCTCCTCTTCTTCTTTCCATCAGCAATGGCTTTAGCCTTTCCGGCTTTCTTCTCGCCTTTCTTTCCTGCAACTTTAGCTGGCATCTTGATAAATCACAAAGATGAATAGATGAGCAGCGCAACTCGTCTTGTATTTATAACAGAAACGTAAGAGGATCTATTATCATACGGATCGAAATTCTCGATAAATAATTGGCTCATTGCTTTGCTAACATTGGGGTCAATTAGCAAAGCATTCTTTCTTTATTTAGGGATTAAGCTCATTGAAAACTAACAACCGATTGGTGCTTTTCGATCCTACCTGCATAATAAACGAACTATAAATACAAGAGTTGTAGGTCAGAGATACTATTGATCCGTTGAATCTTGTATGTAACATCATGTCTGGTCGCGGTAAAGGTAAAGCTAAGGGCACCAAGTCCAAGAGCCGCTCATCACGAGCAGGGCTACAATTCCCTGTAGGTCGAATCCACCGTCTTCTCCGCAAAGGCAATTATGCTGAGCGAGTTGGCGCCGGTGCTCCAGTGTACTTGGCTGCGGTGCTTGAATATTTGAGCGCTGAGATCCTCGAGTTGGCGGGCAACGCTGCTCGTGACAACAAGAAGACAAGAATCATTCCCCGTCACCTTCAGCTGGCTGTGCGTAATGACGAAGAGTTAAACAAACTGCTGGCCGGTGTCACCATTGCACAAGGAGGTGTTCTTCCTAACATTCAGGCTGTGCTTCTACCCAAGAAGACCGAGAAGAAACCCAAGGCTTAAATCGGCTATAATTCACTAAAACGGCTCCTTTAGGAGCCACCAAGTACGACAAAAGTCTTGACCAATGAGCGAAATAACACATTAGTACCAACCAGATATAAACCTATTTTAATAAGCAATAATAAGACTCTCCAGCGTAGTGCAAAAAATTCCTTTTTCTGAGATGTTCCCAAGATCTGAATTTGAGATTTTTCCTTCAAGCTACACCATTGTTATCAGTTTGATTTGCCCCTCTGGGTAAGCTAACGATATCAGTGAACGTTGTAGTAATTTGCGCCAAAACTCGATCTAAGATAACTCAATTCCCATAGACAATTCAATTCTCGTTGACCTCCTATATGCGAACACCTTTTTTTCTATGCTATATTGCTCCTGAGATCTGTGCGCTAATAAGACGCAGAGTTAAAACCGAAGTATGTGAAGATTATTTGATCGCATGAGGAATTAAATCCTTTTTTTCATGAAAGTTATTTCATCAGCGTGAAATACGGTGTTTAGTCAGCTTTTATTTTTCAATAAGATAAAATAGGATCAACGCTTCGTGCGTGAAGGCATCTTTCTGAACGGTCGTCATGGGCAATTGATCACTCTAGAAATTGCGCCAAAACCCGATATGCAAATTTTTCCCAATGATAAGACGCTAACACTCACCAAACAACATTTAACCCTCTTTTAAAAATAACCTTTCTTCATATTCTTCAAGAGTGCAATTGAGATTCGCAGTAAATACTATCCAATACGTTTATGCGCAGCTGTTGAGTTGTGCGCGAGCGTGAAGAGGTGGAGAGAGTGTGACAGCCGAAAAGGTTGTGTAGCTTACTATCGCCAAGAGTAAGATGACCTAAGATGTTACTTTCAAGAGGCGGGAATTAACTATTTAAGTTTTATTGGTCAAGACTTTTATAAGATTTGGTGGCTCCTAAAGGAGCCGTTTGTTTTGTTTCAGAAGGGTCTGTCTAACCACCGAATCCGTACAGAGTGCGGCCTTGTCTCTTCAGAGCGTACACCACATCCATGGCTGTCACAGTCTTTCTCTTGGCGTGCTCGGTGTATGTCACAGCATCACGGATCACGTTCTCAAGGAAAACTTTAAGAACACCACGGGTCTCCTCGTAGATCAGGCCAGAGATTCGCTTTACACCGCCTCGGCGAGCAAGACGACGGATGGCTGGCTTGGTGATACCTTGGATGTTATCACGAAGGATTTTTCGGTGACGCTTGGCGCCTCCTTTTCCGAGACCTTTACCTCCTTTACCGCGACCAGACATGTCAGTGGGTTTAACTATAACTGAAATATGTTACTGCTGTAAACCATGGGCTTTATATACACAGACGGATGACCTCGTAGAAAACAAGACATCCATGAGTATTCTCATTGGTTAAGAGCTTGTAAATAGATACAGTTTTATTACCATACATTACAATAAATCCACACTAGAAGCACAGGACTTACTTTATAGAAAACAGAAATGTTCTTTTCCACTGGTAATTCCAAAATCGAATCTCAAGTAACAAATGTTCCAAAACATTTTGTCATTTGTAAGTCTTATGTCAGGATAGTATGAATAAAGCTGGAAAAAAATACATCATCATCATTTGGATCCAAATGCGACCACAGATCTGTGAAATTATTCAGGGTTGCTGGATTTAGCCAATCAAACATCTTAGTTTTGAACCAATCAGAAAGAAGCCCGCCAGATATAAATATATTACTCTTCAAACATCGGTTATCTTTCTCGAAACCGTTGGAAACATGGCTCGTACCAAGCAAACTGCACGAAAATCAACTGGTGGAAAAGCTCCACGTAAACAGCTCGCCACTAAGGCAGCTCGTAAGAGCGCTCCTGCTACTGGTGGAGTCAAGAAACCTCATCGTTACAGGCCTGGTACGGTCGCTCTTCGTGAGATCCGTCGTTACCAGAAATCCACCGAGCTGTTGATCCGCAAGCTGCCCTTCCAGCGTCTTGTGCGAGAAATCGCTCAAGATTTCAAGACAGATCTGCGTTTCCAAAGCTCGGCTGTGATGGCCCTTCAAGAAGCTAGCGAGGCTTACCTTGTTGGTCTGTTTGAAGACACCAACTTGTGCGCCATCCACGCCAAGCGTGTCACGATCATGCCTAAGGACATTCAGTTGGCCCGCCGAATCCGCGGAGAACGAGCTTAAGTGAAGAACCTCCACAAAACAAACGGCTCCTATAGGAGCCACCACATGAATAAAAGCAATGACCAATAAAGTTTATAAAATATAGGCAACAACTGATATCGAAGGGTCAGATATGCTTTGCTCGTAAATTTGGATATAGGATGCTTATGAGCGTCACCTCTGAAATTACAAAATTATAATGAAAGTTTCATCTTGTTCACTATGATAAATAATAGCTTAAAAGGTTTCCTTAGACTTCTCTTCCATCAACAGGTGATACTTGCCAAGAATTAAAGGCTTACAAAGGTCGAGAGAAGTTCATAACACAAGCTTCCTGTTTCAAATCTCTAAAGCGTAAGAAAGAAAAACAGGCACACTTTTAACAGTATTCAGGGTGCGCTATTTATCTCTTGAACCGTAACATCAAAGAAATTTTAAGAAGTTCAGTCGATAAGCCGGCGATATCTTCGATGCTCTGACTATAAGCAGGTAGCATAATGGCCAAAATTATGCCGGCATATATAATTTATATGACCCTGCTTACGAGACCTGAAATTACTACATTCAATGGAAAAAAAAGTCGATTACAGTCACATTTGCCATGCAATAACCGTCAATATCTAGATTACTTGGAATGTGCTTCAAAACCCATTATTTTAAAAGTTGTCCGCCTGGAGAATTCAATCACTTTTCACGCTCTAACGGAATATGCTCTACTGCCAGAATTAGCCGCCTAGCTAACAAAAACTGTCACAAAAAGCCGAGGAGTGCGCGAGATTGAAGCGGTTAATTCAGGGCTCTCCTCGAGTCTATAAAGGATTGTCTTTAACATGTAGTTTATTAACGAACACCTCAGCTACTACTGTTTATATTCGCGAGAAATATAAATGCGAAAAGAAATATAGCATTCGCGATAAATCTTTCTCTCGGCTCTTACTCCCTTGTGGCAAAATTGACTCACGTACGTAGGAAGATTTTGCGCGCATTTTGCCTTGAATAACGAACGAGTAGAATTTTCAACCTTGTGGCTTTTAATTATCCAATGTTTTTTCTCTGTTGTAAGATCGTAAATTTTATAGTTATAGCTGAGTCGATCGATGGGCATATTAAAGTTTACTTAGGTTTTTCGTATTCAGAGGCCATGTGCTGTGGGATTGTGTTTGGCTTCGAAATAGTCGTAACTTCTTGAAATCTTGCTGTGGTCGCTTCAGTTCCCAACTTATTTCTTTTAATTTCTCAAACTTTCCAAAATTACATATTTTCACTGTTTTAGTTCAGGACTTAACAGCGAATAAATCACTGAGACGCGAACACAATAAGAGAGAGCGGCATGATGGCCGATTGATAAACTTAAATAGTGAAGTTATTTCAGACGAACAGATCGGTCCTGGCACGCCAATTCTCCAAAATTCATAGCATTTTACAAGAAATCCTTCATTAAGCTTCCTCAATGAATCAAATAAACCCAAAATTTCCCTGTTTACATTTCATTTTGAATAGTTGGTTGGATATGAAAATCTTTCACGCGGAAACAGAGGCAAAGAGAAGACTGATCTGTCTTTGTCTTTGTTGTTCATATATAAATGCCATTTATCCATGGGAAATTGTAGATCAGTGCGATTTAAGGGTAAAAATTGATTGTAAGGGAGTTCTTCTTTCTTAAAATGATCTATTTTATGGAAAACAACGCTCAATACGGATGTTATTTGACTCTATTAACGAAATGTTTTCAAAAATCTTCGTGTTGTTGTACTTTTTTCGCTGAAAATAACATACTTAGCGGGTCTTTAATGAAATATGTTTAACACGAACTTCTTAAATGGATATAAAAGTTATCTTTTTAAGATCGTGATTACAATAATAACAATAAAATACCATCCCATGGACCAAAACGTGAAGTGAACTAGCACAAAATTACACGACGCCATGTTGTTCGCATTTGTTTTCTCGGCGGTCCGCATTTAGCGCATATAGATCGCGGCGAACCTCTATCGGTCATCGATTTACTAGTATTACTGAGACACTCGATTCGAAACCATGTCCGAGGCAAAGACGAAGAAGCCGGCCGAGAAAAAGCCTGCCGAACATCCACCTTATATAGATATGATCAAAGCTGCGATCTTAGCGTTGAAAGAACGAAACGGTTCATCGCGCCAAGCCATCGAGAAGTATATCAAGGCTAACTACAAGGTTGGTGAGATCGGTCCACACCTGAAGATGGCTTTGAAGAGGGGTGCTGCTAGTGGAAAGCTTCTTCACACTAAGGGAGTCGGTGCTTCTGGTTCTTTCAAGCTACCAAAGGAAGAGAAGAAGCCGAAGAAAAAGCCAGCTGCAAAGAAGAAGCCTGCTGCCAAACCAAAGAAGCCCGCCGCTAAGAAAGCAGCAAAGAAACCAGCGGCGAAGAAGGTTGCAAAGAAACCCGCGGCCAAAAAGGCAGCGGCGAAGAAACCTGCAGCTAAAAAGCCAGCAGCGAAGAAACCAACCGCTAAAAAACCAGCTGCTAAAAAGCCCGCAGCAAAGAAGCCTGCAGCAAAGAAGCCCGCAGCTAAAAAGCCCGCCAAAAAGGCAGTGAAATCTCCAAAGAAGTCCGCCAAGAAGTAGAAACCGGAAGACATTAACTCTTCACCAAAAACGGCTCTTTTAGGAGCCACCACATTCGCAAAAAGTCCTATCCAACTGAGAAACACAGTGTCACCTATGCTCGTTTTCTTGCTCAAGCCTTTTAGTCGAATGATTTTCCGTTAATAAACTACTCGTTCGGCCGAATTATTATACTATGTACCGGTATCCGGTCATTCCGCCCGAACTTCGAAGTCATTGTGCCTGATGTATATATCGTCTTATCTATGAGTTGTGTAGAGTTCTTTAAAATGGTATCATAAAATAAAACTAGTGTTTTATGAGTTTTTGTTACGAAATACAATATGAGTGGTGTAATATTTTTCTGAGTTGTATACTGACATCACAACTGACTTTTTGCCTCAAATATTTGGCCTCGATGCGTCTATTACATAAAAAAAATGATTTCGCTTTTGATCGCAGAAGTTCCGAAGAAGTTAAATATCCCAGTGATTGAATAAGCTGTTGTTTTGATAACACGGTCAACAAATATCTACAAACATTAAAAGAAATTAAAAATGCAATAACAGTTCAATCTCTGTAATTTGATGCACTGTTTGTTCGTCGGGCGGAACGACCGCAATTCTATGTACCGACACACTAATAGAATTAGGGTAAAAATTTTTGAGCTTTTGAAACTGCTAATCAGCTTGAATAGTATCATTAGGGTCAGATAAATTAAGATCAAAGTTGTTAATAATGCCTGCATAATTTAAGGCATCCTAATTTTTTCATCTTGTTTGCTGAGTTAGTTATACAACAATAATTAGTCTTTGAAGTTCTAAGGGTCATGACCGCCCAAAAGTGTGTACCTCCCAAGTACCCCCACTTTGTTCTTCGCCATATTGCCACAGCCAAATGACATAGGTGGGTAGTTTTAATAGGTCAGGTCAAGAGCAGTATTTGTCATAACTTATCAAATACTGTGCACAGAAAACAGAAAAATGCCTCTCTCCCCTTATTTCTAATTTAGCTCAAGAGCCCCCTCCAAAGTCTAAATTGTGTGGAGTTAACCCATTAACCCCTAAGAGTGACTTGCATCTAATTTCTCCTTATAATATCACCCCTGAATGAAAGAGTAAGGTCATGAGAATAAAGGAAATGGTTACCAACTAGAAAAGCTATGGATTATGAATCAAATTCTCCTCATCAGCACCTTAGGGAATGTATAGAAAACAGTATGGAAAATATGCATACTAATGCCAAGAAGGAAAGGGTTAAGGGGTGTTGGGAATCAGTTAAGGGGATGCAAGTGAGAACACTGCATGTGACTTCTGATTGACTGTGATATTCTCCTTCCAAATTAGCCTGAATTTCATGTGAAAACTCAAGGAAAATAAGTTTTTGCATCAAAGTCCTGATCAGCTGAATTCCCTGTAACCCTTCAAATCTTGTGATGGTTTTCATGAAGGATCCATGTAGAGCATGTCAGAGTTATTGGAGCAATTTGAAACAACTTCCCAAAGTGACAAAAAAAATTAATTCATGAAAGCCACACAAATCAGGGGCATGGCTTTGACAATGGAAAGTTTCTCTAGCAACAGATATCAACAGTTTGTATTAACCCTAAAATCATCCCTTACACACCCATCATGTGAGAAGTAATACTCTTCAGCAAGTAATACAGGTTTCCTAACCCTTTGAGCCGATAGAGTGATAGTCATCTTATTTCTCCTTACAATATCACAGCTGAATCACACATAATGGACATGAGAATGAAGGAAAGGATCACAGACTGAAGAAGCTCTTGATTGTTAAACAAATTCTCCTTGTCAGCAACTTAGGAAATGTATTAAGAACAATACAGAGAATATGCTCACTGATTTTAGGGTGTAGAGAGTTATGCCAAAGTTTTCAAGCTGATCACTTTCCACATTCTCATCCTCTTTTTACTTAAAATATGATTAATAAGAAAATGAGAAGTTGCATATACATCACTTATGAAATGAAAGGGTTATCATATCACAATCAGACTGAAACACCAGAAATTTTTTATTCATTCCAAATAGTGGTCACGTGTCACCATACACTGGCCATAAAATGTCCACACATTCTTCACTTTTAAGCCACATAAAAGTCAAAATACTGTTACAGCTACAAATTTATGTTGTAAGGCTGGGAGCTACATTCTTTTTCTTGCCAAATTACACAAAACAACCAGCTTTAACGCAAATCTCCTGCATTATTTCTGCTTTCTGTCCAAAACTTCAAGGGATTGAAACACTGTAATTGAAAACACTTGCGGTAAGCTAAGTATGGTAAAGCTGTTGGTATGTGTTCCCATTCCAAACCGACCCACAGAAAGTTGAACAGGTATTCTGTAATAACAAAGGTCCTCCTTGTCAGCAACTGTTTTAATATCAAAATCTTTTTTTTTTCCTCTTCCTGTTCAGCTGCGAAAATTAAATCTTATTATCTACTAATCCTAGAGTAGAACACAATTATCTTTTTTCTGTGGTTTGTTTGCATGATTTTTGGGTACTGTTCTTTCTAAAAGTGCTGGTTGAATTCTTTGAATCTGCTGCATCATAAGTTGAAATGATTCCTCAACATTAAGGCCAGTCTAAAAAAACAATACAAAAAAAAAAAAACAATGATTTAATTTATATTTTAACTTTAAACTCTGAGAATCTGGTTAACAACTTTTCTCTTAGCTACCACAAATTTCCTTATAGACCCTTTCACCCCTCAAAGTGATAAGAATCTACTCTCTCCCAACAGTATCACCCCTGAATCAAACAATAAGGTCAGGAGAATGAAGGAAATGATGACAAACCCACGAGGTACTTGATTGTTAAACAAAGTCTTCTTGTAATACCATAGGGAATGTACAGAGAATAGTATGGAAAACTTGCATACTGATGATTAATCATCCCAAAAACTCTGGTAAGCCTCTTCCAGGGCATCAAATTTCAAATAATTGACCCCCCCTCCATTAGATTCCCATCAAAGATAATTCAGAATAACTAACCAATGCATTAATTTCATAATCAGCCCCCTCTAAATATTTCAGACTAGTCATGCCTCAAAGATAATCCCAGACCCCTTTTCTAAAGAGCCACAACCCCTTTCATAGCATAAGATTGGTTCTGAGTCCCAGATAAAATGGTAGAGTTTGTTTATTCTGAACCCTTTAATTCCCAAGATCTGAATGTTAATTCTCCCCTCTAGCTGCTACACATTTCCTTGTAAATAAGTAATGAGAATTTGATGTTGGATCAAGACAACAACTTCTACCTGAGAACTCTGAATATTCTCATTACCTGTTTGCTGGATCATGTATGGATATTATGGAGAGAGGTTAGAACTTGAGCACTTCTGAGAGTGAGAGGGTTTAACTCTTCACTTCAAAGAGTGCAATATCATAACATTATCAATCAGAAGGCTGATGAGAAGTGACACAAACATCTATTTGATTCAACACCAAATTCTCTGAACTAACACTTCAAGAAATGTATGGAAGACATGCTGAGATCTTGGGAGTAAGTGAGGGGTTGGGTGTACAATGAGTGAACTCCCCAAGATTAACCCTTTCACTCCCAGAAGTGATAATATGTAACTTCTCCCTACAATCTCTCTTTATTATCTAACAAACAGGTAATGAGAATATTCAAACTCTTCAAGTAGAATTTGTTACCTTGATCTAACAACAAATTATGGTAAGTAATTTGCAAGGAAATGTGCAGCAGCTAGATGGGAGAATTGACAATCAGATCTTGGGAGTTTAAAGGTTAATTATGGACAAACCTTAGCTGACGTTTCAATTAATGGAATGTTGACTTCAGCTGAATTGCAGTATTCCAACACTTCATCCTTTGTCACTTCGCGTTCACCATCTAGATCCTGTGACAGCAAATAAGGAAATCAATTTGCTGCAAATCATCAATTGTGAAAGACATTAAATAGAACCAATAGTGCTAAATGAATTAAACAGGAAACATTCTAACGCCTACAGAAGACCTCCATGTTATATAGTTACATTGATTTAGTAAATGGTGGTAAAAAAGAGAAATTGACTCCTTGGTTTGTGGGGTAAGTTTTCCCCACTGGTTTAAAGCAAGCATTGTTTGTGTTTGCGCCATCGCAATCAAAGGGGATAAAACTAAGCCCATAACTTACAATGCAGACTCAGTATTCTGTTAATGCATGTGTATGAGGCAAATAGTGTATACCCAACTCCAGTGTTCTCCTTTTCAGGTGGTAACCAGTAAATTTACCACTTGCAGTACCCCTTATACTGCCTAAAATCAGCTTTGAATACCTGAAAATTCAACACGTACAAGGTTTGCTCTACTGGTTTAAAGATTTCTTTTATTTGTTGTGCTTAACCCTTTGACCTCAAGAGTGACTAGCATCTAATTTCTCCTTAAAACGTCGCCCCTGAATCACACATTAAGGTCATGAGAATAAAGGAAATGATTACTAACTAAAGAAACTCTTGATTGTTAAGCAAATTCTCCTTGTCAGCTCCTAAAGAAATGTGTAGAGAACAATATAGCGAATATGTATACTGATGTTAGGATGCATGGGAGAAGACTGTAACTCACCAACTTATTAGCCACTAAGACCATGGGTATAGTGGAACTCAATTGCCTATCCTGAATAATCTTGCTTCGTAGATCCTTCAGTTCATGCCAACTTGATGTGGAATTTATGGCAAATAGTACCAAGAATGCATCTCCAGTTGCAACTGATGAATCGCGGAAAGAACTAAACTCTTCTTGACCCGCAGTGTCTACTATCTCCACGTCATAGAGCTTTCCATTATATTCAATCTTGGTTTGGAAAGAGGAAAAATGGACAGTGAGCTAAAATAATAACTTGGGCTTCCTGAGGAAAAGCCCAAGTCTAAAATCATGCTACTGTTATTGTATATCTTCCAAAAAGGCACTTCCAACATTTCTGTGATTATAAGGGTCACACAATCTTAAACTTCCTGGCTCTTGGATACAAGAATAAGCCATTTACTACCCTCTAAAGTAAACACAGCCCAAGTGAAGGTCACAGCAGCCTCTTGTTCAAAGTATGATTGCTCTTATCCTTAAAGAAGTTTGAATTTAGCCAAAGTGATATACAAACCTACGGCTTAGCCTTATTTTTTTTTGGCACAGAAGCCCTAAGAGTCTTGCCACTTTAGCAGGATTGGATGTCGCTCTACCTAGGGGCAATTCCTCTAAGTTCATAAATCTGCTATGCATACCTCCTTTCTGTATGTCTCCTCTGATCATCAGCCGCACATGAAAACAGGGAGAATAATATTTATTACATACACTTCAAATGGTAATTCTTGGTATCACTCCTAGCCTTGTAAAATAATTTGAATCAATAACAGTATCCAAGAAACTGTGCACCCACCCCTCCCCTAACACAACAACAGACAACTGATAACAAGTTTGGGTTAATGATGGTTTTAGGGAGGGGCAGGTACACAGTTGCTCAGATAATAACATTAACCCTTTAATCCCTGGGAGTGACTATGATCTAATTTCTCCTTTCAATATCACCCCTGAATCAAACATTAAGGTCATGAAAATAAAGGGAATGATCACCAACTAAAGAAACTCTTGATTGTTAAACAAATTCTCCTAACCAGCACATTAGAAAATGTATAGAGAACAGTATGGAGAATATGCATACTGATGTTTGGATATAAAGGGTTAATCCAATAATTTTTTAATAATCCAACTTACCTAATGTGGGGTCATAGTACTAGAAGGGGAAAAATAAAACAAGTGAAAAGTTAGATTTACTTGTAATACTACGTGCTAACAAAAGTTACTGTTTTAGTAATTATGAAAAAACTTGTCATTCTTTTTTCCTCATTAATCTTTGGTTGGCTTTATCATATTCACCTTTCTGCAGGGTGGGAATGTGCAACCAGCTGATTGCTAATACGACTGAGTAATGATTGTTAGAAACCAGATTTTCAATGCTAGTTACCAGCAAGTAATTAACCCTTTAAACCCTGAGAGTGACCAGCATCTAATTTCTCCTTACAGCAATGTGGCTGTATCATTTGTTGAGATCATGAGAATAAAGGAAATGATCACCACCCAAAGAAGCTTTGGTTGTACAACAAATTCTCCTTGTCAGTACTAAAAGAAATTTATAGAGCAGAGAATTGAGAATATGGATACTGATGTTAGGGTGTAAGGGGTTAACTTGAAAGTCAAATTATTTTCCTCTTGTAATTCAGCCCGCATCCCTCATTTGTTTTGTATGCAAACACACAATCTAATTGATGTTTTAAAATTTATCTTATTCACAGCCATTCCAAGACTGATAAAAAGTGATAAATGACATTCAACTTCCTACCTCTGTGAACTCATTCTTCAGGTAACGTATTGTCAAAGAGCTTTTCCCCACTCCCCCACTTCCAACAACACACAGGCGAAACATGTCTGTGCGCTTCCCTTGATTGCCTGACTAAGACTCCTTTCCATCCACAGCTGAAAGAATGTTATTGATAAAGTTAATAAATTACAGGAAAATGTTTTTGGCTCACTGAGCCCTAAAATTAAAAATTTGGACTGCTAAATTTCAGCCTCTGAAGAGCAGAAATTTGGCTTGGCTGGACACTGACAGTGAATATCTGTTACAATGAAAAATTATATCATTTGGAGTACGCAGCCACAACATGGAAAACATTGGTTTGAGATCCACTTCACATTTACAATTTGATCTGTCACCCTTTGCATTTTTTTTTTCATCTACATCTGGCATGCTGGAAATTTTAAGCAATGCTTTTCCATGTGCTTGTAGTGTAAGAGATTTTTTGTTTCACTGAGAACATTTTCCAATATGAAACAGATAGTTATACTGTTCAAGAAGTCCTTGTCTTTGAGGATATGTCTTTAAAAAGAGGAACAAGATGGAGGGATCAGAACACAATTACAATTCCTGTGAAGCTTTGGGTAAAGACACTTGACTCTGCTATGTTATGCTAGTTTGTAACACACACATTATACAACTTCAAATCAACAATTATGCTACATTTTAAAATATCCAGGGTCAAGGCTCTCCATTGAGTACAGGTGCAAATTGAAGTCTCTGTGTTTCTACCCAGTAGAAGTGTCTGTTAACTTAAGGTTCTCTCTCTCACTGCGACCATCAACAAGATAGCTTTGAGCACTGATGATGATAAGAGAATAACAAGAGAAGATAGGAAATCAACTTTAGCTCATGGTCATGGTAAAAAATATGAATCCTGATAATATTCCATTCAATGCATTAATAGCCCAACCTACAAATTCAGGAAAGACAAGATACCTAGTCAATCTTTTGAGTACCACCTTCCAAGGAAAGTTTGATTAAATTGCTCTCCTCTGTCCAACATTCATCCACAACATTACATATGATGGTTTTGGATAAAATGATAAGGACTTACTTATCTTGTTTCTACTCCAAGACCAGATTGATGATTGGCTTAAGATTATCAGTTACATGTATGAGGGAACAGATACACTGATCATTCTCAATGATAGTGCAGCTTCAAGAGATGTGAAGCAGAGGACAAATGAACTTGTGAATTAAGCATTCAGAGCAAGACATAAGGGAATCAGCGTTTGGGACCTCATACGACAGATGACAAGCATTGCAAAGGCAGTCAGAGAGAACATCATTCCATTAGTTCTCTTTTACACACTATCTGTCAATGATATCAGGATCATTTTCAAGGATTATGTGCATGAGGCATGATCTTGTTGTGGAGAAGTACCAAGCGGCCTATGAGAAGTATAAAAAAAATCAAACAAAGCTCCTCAATTGGATTGCAACTAATGACTGAGTTAAGGAGCAGGCAAAACAGAATTTAGTGGACACATATTTTGCTTTGAAGCTGTATAACAAGGTGCATAAAATGGAAAGAAAACTTTCACAAATCTACTATAGCCCTAGATGCATTTGGAAGGGATTGGCTGCTGTGAAGAAGTTGGCTAAAGAAGCTGGAGTATGTGAAGACAACACAAAGCTTTGGCTGATGACCCAAGCCATCTGGCAGATTTATTTACCCTGAAGCATATCCTGAGACCAAATTTTGATGTTGAATCTCCAAATGCAGTTCATCAAGCCGATCTTTTTCTTTCTCATGACAAAGCGACCACAAGGTCACAGAAAGTCTACAAGTACGCATTGACAGTTGTTGATGTTGCAAGCAGATTCAAGGCTGCAGAACCTCTCAGCTCAAAGGATTCTTCTGAGGTCTCCAAAGCTTTTCAGACAATCTATAGGTGTGGACCACTAAGATGGCCAAAAGTTCTTCAGGTTGATCCTAGGCATGAATTCATGGGTGACGTCACAATGCATGATGTGAGGATAAGAAGAGGGAATGTGAACATCCACAGAAATCAGGGAATCATTGAGTGATTCAACTAAACTTTGAGTGACTGTCTCTTCACTTTCCAATACAGTCAGGAGATGAACTTCAAAGAGGGAAATAGATCGACATAATGAGTGAAGAGGCTTCCAGAAGTTGTTTCAGCTTTGAATAGTGAGGTGACAAGATTGACAAGAAATAAACCTGTGGATGCCATCAAGGATAAGGTGGTTGAAATGAAGAGTTCAATGACTTTTTCAAGGCCTGTTGGCTTGATGGAAAAGAGACTCAACTCCTCAAAGAACGTGACATATCTCTGTGCTACTGCTGAGCTGGAAGGTGGTCAGAGGTGAGCCACAGATCCAATCTGGTCTCTGAAGGTCTATGATATTGATAGAACACTGGTGAATAAGAATGAGCCTGTTCTCTATTACCTGAAAGATGGACCAAAGTGTGGTTTCATCAGAGAAGAGCTTCAGATTGTTCCTCCTGGAACTGAGTTGCCTCCTGAAGGAATTTATTAATTTGAAAACACCAAGAAAGAAATGAGTTTCTTCATACCCCCAAGCAATTCTGGGAATCAATTCAAGAAACTGATGAAGATATGAACAATCAAAAGATCATCAATCTTGCCAATCCAATTGACCACCAAGACACAGTGACCAAGATTAGTATGTTGATTAAAAAACAGAAACAATACATTTATTCTCTTTTTTGTCAAAATATGTTCCCAGAAGTCTCTTCATTGAAACATTAATAACAGAAAAAGCAATGTGCTGGTACCACACAGACCACAACTCAAACAGTGAAGTACTTCATTGAAATAACTTTAGTGTTACTACTTTCGATCAATCAGGAATGAACAACGATGCAATACAAAAAAAATTCACTCCGACCAAAAATATCAACCTAAGTAAAGCATGGAAGATACTTCTCCTTTTTCAATGAAAATAGGCATTTGATCTTCCTTTTATCAATAATCTTAAAATCTTAAATGTCTTAAGTGTTATCAAGATATATATAAGAAAAGTTTAAAAGGAACAACAATCTATACAAGAAACTATTTGATTGGAAATGGATTCATTCAAAACTTCTCTCTTTCTCTTGAAAAAGATAGAGAAGTTGTTGTTGATGGAACAATACCAAAATCAGGACCACAAGAACCATTCACTGTTGTTTGAGTAAACACAAAATTATATAATATACAAAGAAAACCAGATTTTAAATTAAATGTTTCTATTGATGTCAAACCTTCAGCAGGATTCAAGAGAAAAGCAAACCCAACAGGCGCAAAATGTAATAGGGTTAAGTTTGTCAAGGAGGAAAGTGGAAAATTAACAGCTGTTGCTGGAATATGGATATGGCGATGCTATAATATGCTCTTGTTCTGTCTGGTGTAATGGGAAAACACTTCTCAACTTTAGTGCAAGCGGAATTAGCTACAGTAATTATGTATGGGGCAATTTTTCAAAACAAGATGGAGATGATTTTCAGGAAGGTTTAAACTCAGACAGTCATAATTTTCTCATTTACATAGACACTCTTATGACAGAAGAACAAATAAAGGCACACCATGACTTCTTCATAAGAAGATACTACATTAATGCTGATCCTGTCGAATAAAACCATGAAGCATGCTTGCATGTGCAAAGACTTTGAATTTCACAGGTGATGTTGTGAAATTCAGGTGTAATCATGTCCGATATAGTAAAGGCATGAAATCTTCACACAGACAATCAACACCCTGATGGCAAGACAAGAGAATTGTTCAAGGTGATAATATTCACAACTTCATCAAAATTCATGAGTGAGACATTGTCAATATTATTTATCTGTGAAAAATTCAAGTTGCCTTGAAATCAACCTTGATTTGAAAATGCGCAAAAACTGTTGTTTGAAATCAAAGTTGATTTCAAGGATGACTTGAAATCAAGGTTAAAATTCATGAGTTGACTTGAAATTCTAGGTTGTTTTCAAAATGAGCCAGAATCCCTTTTCCTCTCTCTGCTTATGCAATTTTGCTGTCTTTGAAAAATTTACTTGTGCTTATTAACACAAAATTTTGTAATAATGCAAATTGCACTCACAATCATGTTGTTACCTTTACCAATACACTCAGACACTTGATCAAAATCTATGATAGACTTAATTTTAGGCAAGCTTCCCGCAGCTCCAGGCTAGTAAATCTTGGTAATAGCTTGCCCTAAGGGCAATCTGATTTGTTTATTATCATTTCACTCTGTTAATTATCACAATACTGGCTAAACTCCAAAACACATTCAAATGAAACAAAGATTTGAATCCAAAGAGGGTCAAAGTTGAATATTTAAGAATGTCTGCATTTAAAGAAACTAATAGAACACAAGTCTAACGAAAACTATGAGAATAATCATTGCTCATTGTCGTACAAGTTAAACTGAGAAGACCGACACTGTGCAAAATCTAGTTCTCTAAGAGCAGTTAATTACCACTAAACCTTTAGAAACTTATTTCACTGTATTCAAACACAAGTTATTTAAAAACTGCTAAAACAAACAAAATAAATTTGAGCAAATTGTTCTGCAGTAAGAAATCAATGGTCACATAAACAACAGCCAAAGGAAAAATGATCTATAGTTATTAAATCCTTAATAACCAATACAGCTCTTGAATGTGAACAATTGGCAAATTGGCAGATAATTGTAAGTATTTTAACATTTTCTAGCCACTTTAAATTTTCTCCAAAAAATTTGCATTGAAAACAGCTGTTTTTATGACCATAACTCAACCCACTATCCCCTACTAGTGCTCGATTAACCTTGTAATTTATGTCCATATAATGTAATTGATTGATTGCTCGTACCAAGATAGCACAGACGAACACACCCTGAAATTATTATTATTGCATTGTTGTCATATTGAATTTCACGTTATGGCAATAGGTTTCGAAAGCAGGTCAGAAAAACAAACATGCGACCCTCCTCAAAATCCCTTAAGAGCACATGAAATGTCGTTTAGAAATATATTTTGCTGATGATTGTCACAAAGCGCAGACTTTCAGGGCAAGTTGATGCATGGAAGATTCGTGACATGGACTTGTGCCCTTCAACTGTAAAGACAATTATAAACCGTTTGTTGTTTAAAGTTAAATCTGACAGCCCCAAAATGACTCTTCGATCGATGCAATGCTCACAACCTAACAATTCTTTCAAAAAAGTGAAATTAATGATAAAATATATATAAGTTTATATGTAAGTACCACCGTGTGAGCGAAGTATTTTTAGTCGAATTAATCGGGCGATCGAACATTCAGTTACTTTGGTAGATATGCAGGCGTTTGTATTTGCTAAATCGACCGCTTTAGAGAAAATATTCTTGCTGGCAAATATCTTTCAAAGGTATTATTATAATAAGAATTGGTACAGCGGAACAAAAGACATTGCAGAGGAAAATTAAAATAAGCTTAACGCTATATGATATTATCAAAGAATTCGACGCAGGAACGCAGGTTTAAAACGCATAATAGTTAATAGATAAGCTTATAATTTAAAGCACTTGTATTGTATTTTTCCATTTACTGAAAATCATGTTAAATACAAGTTTTCGTGCGCATTTCAACCCACAAGTCCCTTCATTAGCATGTTTGAAAAACAACTTGACGAGATCCAAAGGAAGTGTAGAAACTTCACTTACCTTTCGAGTCAGTTCTTCGAAGCTACACACTTATTTACAACCTTTGAATCACAGTGACTAAAGGAATTGAATACAGCCACAAAGAAGATTATGACAGAAGCGATTCAATGGACGAGGCAAATTCCAGTCATCGGAATAACTTATATATAAACCAGCCTGAGTAAATACTTGAAAACAAGCGTGTCACTCTGGTACAAAAATACATGACGTCATCACCAATCAGCACGAAGCATGGCACGTGTCATCCAGTTGTTTGTTTCGCTGTGATTACAAACCGCAGTTATCCGCAAACAGAAATAACCCCCTGCCGCTGTATTTTATTTATAGAAATAATATTAAAATGATTTACAACTCTAAGACGAAAAGTCATTCAAATCTTATTTCCTTAATAAACCATTTCAAAAGTTGTAACAGACATCTTCAGACTATCGATCCTAAAAGCTGGCTGCTGTCTTCTTTACTTTTTACTTTGAGAAACATCCTTAAGAAAAATACCGCTCTGCTGTTTCCGTTGTGCCACTCGTCACAGTTTTGTCGGCACAAATTGCGACTGATGGTGAAAAGAAAGAAATATTCAGTACAATTCCCTTCTTAAACAGAAATCTGTTTCCACCACTTTTTTTTCTAACAGATAATTTTCATGGTACCCTACCGCTAAATCATTCCCGTTAAGTAGACATTATCAGTATGAGTTCCCCTCCCTTCCAAGAACACCGGCGAGGTGTGCCAAAAGTCAAATTTGTTTTTTCCTTGAGCATAAACAGTGGGGGGTAATTGGCGCTAATAACCCATCGAGTTTCCGTGTTTTAGCTTTTGTTTTGTTTTGTTTTTTTTATTTAATTTTCTTTCTAGTCCCTTTAACTCCGCCCTTTTTAAAGATTCTTTGTGCATTCACGCGCGAGAGAAGAAGACCCGTGTAATCATATTTCAAGCCCCCTACTCGAGGGAAGTTGGAGGGAGTAAGATGACTTTGATGACTGTTTCGATAAAAAATGACCACCTTTGAAGCTATCCCGCTATCTCAGAGTAACTTAAGAGTAATTTTTCTTGATCTCACCGAGAGACATAGTACCTCTCTAATGTAAATGTTGTTTTTATTTTTCTAATCCGCGGTCCCTTCGAATGACCTCATCCAGCGACCCCCCCCCCTCCCCCCTCCCAACGTCAAAAAGCCGTAAACAAGATAAATTTAGCACATTTGTTTTTCAATTGGTAACACGTGAATTCATCTGGACACAGGTGGGGTCTCCTACTGCTTAATCACAAAAAGAAACATCCGTGCGGGGTGTAACTTGACAAACAATTTTCTTTAAAATTACCGGCAGATCCGCCAGATGCGGTTTCGTTGCTTGGTGTTAACAGATCACGTTTTTTTTTCTGCGAAGCTGGCCAAATGACATTAATTCAACCCAGGATTGTTTGATTGAGCACTAATTGCAAAGATTAAATGTCTCGGAAGTATTCACACAACTTCGACCGGGATCGGTAAATTAACGAAGTACTTCCGAATTCGGCATCGTTCGAGAACGAGTCGGAAACAGGGGGACTGAAAACAAATAATTACCTCGAGGGGACCCAATTTTTTTATCGATGGGTTGGTGGATGGGGGGAAGAAAGAAAACCGGAAGAGTATTTAGAAAAGAAGAAAATTTATTGCGACTGAATAACACGTATGCATTTCCTGATGAAAGCTTCAAAGATAACTTAGCATTATTACGATATATTTTCGAGTAACTTATCAAAATTGCGCAATTTTTGTGCCTGTATTTGCTGAAATGACTTACGTTAAGTTGTAATTTTCGTAATATGTACAAATAAAAAAATTAAGAATTCCATTCGAAAACATATGCAAAATGAGCAATAAAATATCTTCTCACAAAATGAAATTCTACTAACTACTGAACTCTTTTAAGTTCGAGTTTCAATATGTTAAAATTGCTAAAAAAAAAAAAAAAAAAAGCGTAAGAATTTACAGAGATATGTTAGTTACCCCACATGAAGCCTACAAGACCAACAGAACTAGGGGTCAGTCATTCTTTATCACCTGAGGGGGGAGGGGGGTGGGGGAATTTCAGGGGATCACATGGTTTTCAAGGAGAACGGAGAGGGGATCTGTCGTGGTCAACAGAGTATAAAGAGGGGACTATTGACAATTGACTGCCAATTAACTGTCCAAGACAGGGGATCATAAGAATATTACAGAGCCTTATAGGGGGGTCACATAAATTTGATCGTGACACAACCAGACTCCTCCGAAACCCCTCAGGCGATAAACAATGACTGATCTCTGATTTGTAATTGATGATAAAAACCATGAATTCAAATTGAATTTAAAAAAAAGCCTATATTAATAAAGCTTCAAAATTGATCCCTTAAAAGTGAGCTGAGTCGCTTTTGCACAACTTGTACGAAAACTTTCCCCAATTTTTCGTGTTTACCATTTGCATTTGGGTTAAATTCCTCTATCTTCAGTTGTACTAAATTTATTCCATACTAAATTCAATCTTTTTTATATCATACGATACTCCACCAATATACCAAGCTATTGAAAGAAATTCTGAACTATTGTAGTTTATCGACTAGTCACGCAATCCATGACATTGCGTGACACAAGTCTATTCTCCTATTCGATGGTGCAACGCTCACGAAGTGTCCTTGGCAGGTTGCCAGGATTTTTCATCCACCAAGCAACGCAGTCCCTGACAGTGAGATACCAAATTTTTCCACATATTGTGCACCGCTAACAAATGACGGTTACCTGTTAAGACACGCGCAGACTTTTAATTCCCAATTTAAAGAAAAAACATTATATAGTGGCCACGATTTGTAAAAAGTTAAATATGCGCCTCTTAGCCTTAAACCTAACCTCCTCATAAAAAGACAACCCATGTACCAACAATTGGCGAATTTCCAATAACCACCATCCATTGCATGGTCCTTTATGGTCGTTACACGTTAGGGTGTTTGAGCCTTACGCGACATCAACTTACTGCTAACTGGGCTGAGAAACGTAGCAATTTTCACGTGAAAACACACATACTTCAATTAGTTAGGGTCCCATAACCACGCTAAGCCAGCGGTATTTGATCTTACAAACATTAAATTGAAGTTTTTCAACCTCGCTCCCAGACTCCCTCTTTTTCCCCAGTCCCAGTAGCGAGAAGGCGGGAGGAGAGAGCTTGGTAACAAGGTTAGACCATTGTTACACTTGGATTGAACATTCGCATCATGAAGATAGACTAATACTCACCAATAATTACTAGACCATGCTTTGCACGAGTAAGAGCAACGTTCATTTGCCGCTCATCAATAAGAAAACCTAAGTGATTGGCTAACCATTGTTGATTATCAGAGCTGCCTGTGATCTTTTCTACTGGCAGACTTCGCACGGTAGACAAAACCACAAAGTCCTTCTCAGCACCTAGAGAGAAAGACAACATAAATGTGTTAAGATCCAGTCGAAACCACCCCCTACTGGTTAATTAACCCTTTAACAACTAAGAGTGATTAGCATCTAATTTCTCCTTACAATGTCACCACTGAATCACAGATTAATGACATGAGAATTAAGGAAATGACCATCAACTTAAGAAACTCTTGATTATTAAAGAAATTCTCCTTGTCAGCACCTTAGTAAATGTACAAAGAACAGTATGGAGAAATGAACACTGATGTTAGGGTGTAAAGGGTTAAGAGAAATAACCCTAGGACTGCAAGACTCGATTTCGGCCCCTTTCTGAGGATCGTTGTTTTGATCGATGACAGAGAAGGAAAAGCAAAACTAATAACATCTGCCCATGTGAGAGGGAGATGCGGGTCAATCATAGAACAAGGAAAGCAAAAACAACGCAATCCAGTTAACATTGGACACTAAGTAGAAAATTTCCACAAACATACACATACCTTGGCTGGCGAAGACAGAGAGGACCTCTGAGTCACACGAGTTAAAGGAGCTCTGTAACTCTCGGGATATTTTGGCTCTCTGCGCAGAATATGGTGTAATGACAGATATCCGAGAAGATTTTATTCCGTGGGACATCAGGTACTTGAGAACTCGTAGCTACAGAAGAAAATCATTAATAAAGAAAAGGTTACAGGTGCCATGTCAAGTTAGTCATTTGTACTCTGTTTTCAATTTTTCCACCCTCAGAAAGTCTCCTTGAGGCCAACTATCCTACATTAACGAGCTCAAAACTTATTATCTTCATAAACATGACGCTATCGACATTGCTAATCCTAGCAGTATGCAGGGCGCATGTCATTTGAACTTCGTAATAGACCTCGCTCACCGTACTCTCTGTGGCTCAATAATAGAGTATTGGAGCGCGGAATCCGAAGTTCTGAGATTCGATTCCTCATGGGGACTCAGAATTTTTTCTTTGTCCCACGCTCGTGACAAGATGAAAAAAATCTTTCTCTATATCTTTCATTATATGATAAGTAAAATTATACACGCGTTTTGATTGGTTCTTTACTCATGAGCTAAGACAGACGCAAAGATGACGTCACTATTGGCAACGTATAGATTCCATGTAACCGTGGGTCTCTACAGTACTAGGTCACAGGAAAAGTCAAAATTTGGTAAGAACATCAGTAACACACTCGACCGCACCTCGCGTACTCCTTTTCTGTTCTTAGCAAATGTTGAAGTTATCTGTGTTCTAATACTGAACAGACTCACGGCGACATGGAATGTACTTGTTCAACAAGGCAGGCAGCAGAGAATCTATTTGTTGAATAGAAATACTCTCCGGAGACTATCAGCTACTAGTACTACTTTAGTATATACTAAACAATGGATATCGTTAAAGGCGCACTCTGATTGGCTACTCAAGCTCCGAATTTCATTTGTTAATTTCCTTCCAGCAACGCGCGCGATATTTGTGCGCGAAAATATTATAAACGTTGCAGGAAAAAATGAGTTAAAATTATCTTTTTGTGCTACACTAACTCACTGTTTCAGTGTATACCAAAACAACTATCTTACGATAGACATACTTGAGCTCACATTGTGTACTTCACACGCTTACTAACAACACTTACCACAACGTTCACCTCTTGCGGGTTGCGCTTAGACTCCTCACGGCCTTCAGGACCTGTGTAGTCCTGGGGACTCTCTTCAGTTCCCATAACATGACAAAATACGACGCGGACATTTGGTCCCCCTGGCCAAAAGT